AGTGCTAGCCGATGTTTATATGATGGAGTGGGAAAGTGACGTTCTAGCAATGCAATTAGACGAAAAAGAAATTTATGTAAGATTTCGAGACGACATTTACCTGACTACCAAACGACCCCTTTTTGACCCAGATTTGTGTCCGTTCCGTCTGACCCGTCGACGACTCTGGAAACATCTCGCAGCAATCGACGACCACCATATAGATGCTTATTTTCGTTCTACCACTCTTTCTTAGAGCAAATAATCCAGAAAAAAGAGACGATGCCGATCTTCTTCCCCTGCAAAATTGTTCAGTCAATCAGAAATCCAGCGAAACCGAGTAGAAATCGAGCGAACATCGAACTTCAACTCATATACAAATATTGGCAGCTACATTCCACCACCACCACCAACTATCCGGTCACGTCAACCTAAAATCAACCCATTACGGTCAACCCTCGTACTACTCATGCAAATCAAACCTTTTCGAGTGCGGCAACAAAGTGAGTACACACGTACAAATAATAGATTCAACCTTTTTCTGGATAAGCAGCAGGATCATCACTACGCAATACCACCGACAACAGATACAGAGCAGCAGAGTTTCATAGCTCCGCGACCACGGCTACGAGGCAGAACTAGAATGTCAAAACAAACGAAGCCATACGCACAGCCAAAGAATGCGCAACAACATGTCGCTCATCCATTGATCAATCTGATTGACGAACCAAGACAACAAGGTTATCCATCACAACAATACCAACAACGAAACACAGCTACAAGACCGAATCAGGTCATATTATCCGATTCGACAATTTCCCGTTTCCGACCAATTTAACAACAACACCATCAACGTCCGCATAAAATCTGACTCTGGCTTTGAGATACGCGATTACATTCAACAGATTACCAGTGGCCAGCTCCGATACCTACTAGCCCAAACTGAAAGCGTCACATTCGTCGTCGGCACCAACGACATTGCATGGAACCTCGCCAACAACGTCATAAAATGGGTAAGTGAGCTTGTGACTAAGAAGAAATAATCTCAAGAGCTCGTCTAATTCAGAAATAATGCGTTGGAGAGGGTTCTCAGGGATTACCTCATACGCATTAGTTTTCCCCATATAGGCATCTGACGAGGGAAGGCCACCAACTGCCCCATCGCTTTTGGCTTAAAACCTAGTGGACAATAGGTAATCGACCATGCTAATGCCGAATACGATAGCCGTTTTCCCCCGCAGGCGTTTTCTAGTCGGTCTCTGGAAAACTGGTTTTCCAGAAACCTCGAAAAATCTCCAAAACTTTTTCTAAATAAGTCACAATTTTAGCCCGCGAAATTTTGATCAAAATGAGACATCTCCCAGCTCTACATGACCTTTCTTTGCAAAGTTACAGAATCTACAAGAAGAGCCCAAAATGTTCATTGTCATCTCAGAGCTACAGAAAGAAAAAGGAAAAAGGAATTTAGGGCCATTCTTGTAAATTCTATAAATTTGCAAAGAAAGGTCATGTAGAGCTGGGAGATGTGTCATTTTGATCAAAATTTCGCGGGCTAAAATTGTGACTTATTTAGAAAAAGTTTTGGAGATTTTTCGAGGTTTCTGGAAAACCAGTTTTCCAGAGACCGACTAAAAAACGCCTGCGGGGGAAAACGGCTATCATATTCGGCATTAGCATGGTCGATTACCTATTGTCCACTAGGTTTTAAGCCAAAAGCGATGGGGCAGTTGGTGGCCTTCCCTCGTAAGGTATAAATTACTTTAACCATTAATTTAAAGTTATTCACTTTAAATTAACTCTTATATTACCAATTTGATTGCTGCCTCCATGAGAAAATATTGTTATGGCTTTTTTTCTTTCACCAAATCTCAAATCGGATCGATAAATATTTAATGATAAACAATTGTCATCAAAATTACGTTTCATAAAAAATGAACCATAGGATAAATTTTCTGTCATGAGTAAACTCTGCCTGCAACATGATCCAAACGTAGTAGCATTTTGAATTGTATACGAAAAGTGTTTTTTAACTGGTTTTTGTAATGGTACTGGTAATTCTGCATAATAGATTCCAAGAAATTGATCTATATAGGTGTTATTATTATATTTCACACGTTTTCCATGATAAATTCCTGTTGATGATACTAAAAATGGGCCTACATGTTTATTTTGATGATTATATGCCGCTGATTTAAGTATATAGCTATCATTATTAAATAATGAAAAATTTATTAATGTTTGACATGGTGGTGGCAATGTCTGATTAAATAATAATTGATCAATAATATGTTCATACGTTGGACATTCGTTGTCGGTTATAGCATTGATTGAATGAAAATAAAATAGACCAGTTAAACAAGTATAATAATTGAAACAGAACAATACTGTACAACTATAGTGATAAAACAAATTTTTTATCACAGTTATTAACATCATAAACAAAAACAAGATTTTAAAATTATTTTCAAAGTAATCCAATCTTGTCTTAACCCACAAATTTCCCGTTTTTTTTTATCTTTACTCTCATATAATTAATGTAATAATCATTAGTGATATTTTCATTTTTTTTTGTCTATATGTCATTTACTCTATAATAAATGAATTAATATTTGTCCAAAGTAACACGTTTATTGCTCTAACAAATATCGAACTAAACAAAAAACATTATAAATGACAATATCTGGTAAAAATATACATATGGGTAGATTTATAACAACTTTTTTCTCTACTTTTTTTTAAAAATATATATCTAATATCAATTAATAGAATATAATGGAGATATGGATAGTTTCTCTCTCTCTCTAATGTACTGATAGATTACATAGATAAACATTGAGTAAATAACAATAATAATGGAACATATCTAGGTGTCAATTAACGATCTAGGTGTCAATTAACGATTGAGTTACGATTTCTGTTTTTTTTTGAAAAACATTACCACTTTTTTGATGAGTATCTATCTAAAACTATCCACAGTAACAGTCTTTTTTAATTTTAACAGAAGAACGCCAACGAAACGAATGATGGATGATATCTGACTATCCCAAGCAAATATCACCTATGAGAAAAATCTAGATACATTTCGTCTATAATCGGGCGATACACGACTAGTTGCCATCTAGATTACTAGTTGGAAAAGGGACTTTTAACTAGATGCGTCTGCAGGTGCATCTAGCAATAGTTAAATCGCTCGGTTATCGGGCGATAAATCGATAGTTGCAACTAGAAAAAATCTAGTAATCACCCAATTACTAGATTTCTACTATCGTTACACAGTAGTTGCAATCGAGCAAAAATCTTGTAATCTAGATGAATCGGGCGATACTAGGTTTTTTTTGACGCTTGGGTATGTCAAGTTTTATACTTTTACATTCTTTTTTTTAAATTTTCAACATGTCGACTTTTGAACATAATTTCGAGACTAACGAAAGACTTTTTTTCAAATTATTTATCTTAATAATAGTTTTGAAAACTTGTTTAGAAATTTTCAGACTCGTTTTTCAACCGCCCTTGCAATTATGACAAGTTCATTCTTAAACTATCTTTCATTAGAAATAAAATTGTTCCCTTTAGATATGGATCTTTACCAACTACATATAGAACTCAATCGCATGAATAGAGAAGTAAACGAACTTATGTTTGATCTTCAAGTGAATTTTATTAAAAACAACTGTTATTAAAAATATGACTATATTTATAAATTTTAATGCTAAATACTTAACTATCACTTACTATATTACTTTTCTTTTATAAATTTTAATTTGCACACATTACGTGTTCAAACATATTTTTAATATAGAGTAAAGTTAGTTTAAAGTAAAATAATTTAGTATTGTATATACAATGTGAAACATCAGTAGATACAAAGATCTTAACAAGTAGTCATCAAAATATACTTATAGTTAAACTCGAGTCATCATCTCTCTCTTTTTTTCATGCACACTGATGATAAACAAATAATTGTATCTGATTTATATCTCCCATATGCGTATCAGCTAGAATAATATGGCAGATACTAAAATTAGATGTGCATGTTGCGCTTATATTGAAAAGATTAGGCCTATATTTTAGTTTTTCTTTTTTTTGTTTTCATCATGGTTCATATGGTGTTAAATGTAGAACTTTATACTTTTTGCGTGTTTATTTCACTTATGAAATTCAATATGTTATTGCATGACCCGTACATTCAATGAAGAAAAAATGAAATAAATTTTATAACCTATAGCTTCAAGCGGTATTCAATGGAAACGTTTATAATTATTATTAATATACATAAAATACAAAAAAAAAAATAAATAAATAAAAGGAAAACATTTGAAATATGATACCTAAACTTATCAATTTTCAACTAAGTGTTATTCATGATTTATTACGAACGTGATTTTTGGTACTACATTATGGTAAAAACAATAAATTCTTTTAAATGAAATTAACATCATACGGACAATTGGATAAATTTAATATGAGAAATTTAATATTGAAGAAATTTTAGTAAAAAAGATTTAAAAAAAATGTTACATTTTGTTTTAAAATTTATAAATTTATCAAAAATGACAATTAGTTCTTTTTAAGATGAAATGATGATTTTTTTTTTTTTATTTGTTACTGGGCGTGTATGATGTTTATATTATTATTCCATTTATGTTTTTCGTTCGTTTAATAATAGTAGTAGTACATCAGGTTTTTTTTACTAGCATTGCTCTACATATTTATGAATTTAGTGTTTTACACTGTCTGTTTTTAATAACATCAATTTTATTCTTTGAATCTTTGTTATTTGAAAGTGTACTAACAGCTGTGTACTTTTTGTCATAGAAAAATTAGATACAGAATGACATTAGATTATCATGAGATTATCGAGGTAAAATCATTATCTACAAAGTATAGATTTTGGAAAAATAATCTTTTCATCTTTAATTTTCTTTGAAACAAAATCCCTAATCAGTACGAGCTATACTGTCATATTGAATGAATAATTCAGATATATTTTAAAATAATTTACTAATAAATAAATTCATTAACTTACTAAGAGAAAAATATGTTGAAATGTCCACCATTATTAACTTCATGATGATTTTCTACACTCATTGAAAAACACTATCAAAACGACAAAACAATTTTGCTATAATTGATATAATTAGAGACGAGAAAAAGAAAATCGATTATCCCCTCCTGTTTTGACTATTCTCTATCTTCGATTTTCTTCTTTTTTTTTTTTCATAGAACTGTTGATGCATATAATTACAATAATATGATCGACTGTTTATTGATAACACTTTTATTTGAACTGTTTATGATGGATGGTAATCATTCATTTTTCACACTATAATATGAGCTTGCCCTTGAAATATATGCACATGTTCATACTGAGAATAGTAGAACAGTTTCTTTTTCCTAAAAAAAAATATCAGTTAGATATAACGAAATCAATTGAAAAGTGTATGCTCAATCTGTGTTTATATTTATTATGAATGAGGTATATACATTCATACACATTCAATTTCCTTTGGGGATATGCAATAGTTCGCTTAATATTTGATTCAATAAGTGTGTATAACAAACAGTATTCAAATTGATAAAAGACATTGAGCAATGAATAAGAACTAATTTACTAATGAGTTAACGTTTCCAAGTTAAACTATAATTTTTTTCTGGACTAAACAAGTAGGATATCTGACATAATAGTCTTTTTTTTAAAATTAACTATCGGAAATAAATTATAGACATATATAAATCAAAGTAAATAAAATAGCTACTGTATTTTTAGACTTTTTCAATGAAGCCGAGTGGCTAGGTCAAATCTGAATAGTGATTTGAATAGCCCTTGAAGTTCTCTATCAAATGCAGTATGTGTCAAAATTCCAGAAAAAAGGTTTCGAAGAAAATTTTCTAGAAAAAAACCCTTTAATATAGCCATCTAAAAGAGCATAAAATTCGTCCCACAGCTCTCCACGATCTTTCGTTGCAACGTTTCAGACATCAGGACATCTACAGAAATGTGCTTCTGTTTGTTTTTTAGGCGATTTTGAGCGTTTTTTCCATAAATTATACTATTTCTTTGAATTTTCTGATGCCTGTAACTTTGCAACGAAAGATCGTGGAGAGCTGTGGGACGCTTCATTTTTTTCAGAATTTTATGCTCTTTTAGATGGCTATATTGAAATATTTTTAGCAAAAATTCTCTAGAACTTATGAGGGAACCTCCCGAGGTGATAAATCGCTTTTTGATCGAGATCTGGTGAGTTATAGGTTATCGATCATGCTGATTCCGAATATGACCATGCTTCAAATTAATTTTTTTCTTCTTTTTTCTGTAGCTTTGAGCTGACAATGAACAATTTAGGGCTCTTCTTATAAATTCTATAACTTTGCATAGAAAGATCGTGTAGGGCTGGGGTTATCATTTTAATCAGAAATTTCCGGGCTACAATCCTGCATTATTAAGAAAGGCTTGGGTTATTTTTTGGGGTTTCTGAAAAACTGGTTTTCCAGAAGACTGGATCTTCGAAGAGCCATGGGGAAGTTCCATGGTCATATTCGGAATCAGCATGATCGATAACCTATAACCCACTAGATGTTGATCAAAAAGCGATTTATCACCTCGGGAGATTCCCTCGTTGGAGCTCCGCTGGAGGGTTTTTCTAGAAAACTTTCTTCGAAACCTTTTTTCTGGAATTTTGACGCATACTGTATTTGATAGAGAACTTCAAGGGCTATCCAAATCACTATTCAGATTTGACCTAGCCACTCGGCTTCATCGAAAAATTCTAAAAGTACAGTGACTCTATAATTTTTTCCAGTACTGTAAAGATAAAAGAGAAAAATATGAAAAGACAAATGGTCATATTAATTTTGAGTTGAAACAGGGTTTTCGAATGTGTCTGTTACTCAGTTATAATAAATCCATTTGCTCATATCTTAGATATACCCCCCAGTGTTACCCTAATAACACATATTCTGAGAGTTGTTAGAAGAAGTGGGAACTGGGAGTTGTTATTATTTATTAAAATTATGAGTTTAAAAAATTTATTGCTACCCCTTGGAACTTTAACTTGCGCCGCCTATGCTTGGTGGGTTATCTGTAGTGATCAATGTGAAGATGAATGCTGCCGAGTCTGCTTTTATAGCATATTCTGAACTCCAGGGAATGGCTGTGTAAGCACCGAAGAGATAATGCTGTTCTGAAGACTGAAAGATAGTTATCGTTGGACCTTTTGCGTCGCAATGTTAATGAAAGTTTTGGGCTGTGAATCCATCTCGTGTACCTTTATAAAGTAATTCCCACAGTTGATTTTGTTTTCCGTAAAATTCATTCAGCTTTAATTGATGTTGTTTGTCGTTCACTAGTGTCCCACCCATAAACAGCTGCTGAGTTGTGTTATGCTCGTCGTCGCTGTATTCCTTGGCCATTCTTCGCTGCTGTGATTAAATAGAAAACAGAAAATGAATTAATTTGCTTCTTACAACAACGGTTGAATATTGTTGTGTCGAATGAAATTCGAAATTGTGAGTTAAAAAGAAAAGTTTGAGTGAATCGGTGACATTCACAAGAAAGAAACTATGTGTCCTCTGTATGCGAAGGAATTCGGGTATGGCAAACAACTATCACCTTTGGATGCTCAAGCTTCGCTTTATACTACTACATAAGGCGAAAAAACAAAGAATAATTAGGTGATGTGTGAAGAAGGGCAGAGTTCTTTTGTTTATCCTCAAATTAGTCTATACAGTTTGTAAGTAGCCGGTAGAGAACATACTTATGCCCGAGTACTTGGGACAAGTACCCCGCTTGCGTAATGAAGTCGGCACTGGTCTTTTTTCCAGAAGTAAATTTACTTGTAAGTACTTGTCCAGCGTGCAAGTACTTGATTTTTAACTTGACAAGCACTTGTTCAAGCGCTTATCAAGTAAAATTTCAAGTACTTGGATTGTTTTCAAGGTAATATCATTCGAGTGTTTCTCTGTTATCGCTTAGTATTCACTTTGCGAGCTTATATTATTGTGTGTCGGAAGTCAACAAAGAAAACACGTTTTCCTAAGCATAGGTATAGTATTCACGTAAATAGATAGTGGTGAGCAGTCCTGCCATATCCAGCAACTGCTGATTTTAACCCTAGCTTTAGTTTAGCAAAAAGAGTGTTTATGAGTAGCAAGATGCCGCTAATACAAAAGCTCCAAAACTTTTTTTTTTCGTTTTTAAGATACGTAGTCTGAGTCACCAGAAGCTGATGATCACGAATATGACCTTACTTTTTCGATGTGACCTAATGTTCAGGGAGAAAATGGCAAATTACTGTGAAGGTGTCACAAAGCGCATACACTGACGTAAAAATCATTTCTGTTATTTTTCTTCCAGCATCAACTTTTCAGCTGTCACTATGTTTTTTCCAGATTCTACATCCCAAGCGAATTCTAGCACTGGGCTTCTATAAAGGTTTAAGCCTAAGGGCTGTTCACACGGGATGTCCAAACATGGTGGGGTCAAACCCAGACCCCATTTTTGTATCGCTTATTTCTCGTTGATCAGGGACCTTAGAGCCCACTGTGATAGCTCGTCCGAATCGCCAGACGTTCAACTTTAACGTGATAGAGCGCTTTTTTCGAAATTCGTTTTCATAGCTGAGAAAAGTTTACTTTACTGGGGAAAATCGAAATTCTGACTCTAACGAAAACACGAAAATTCAAAAAAATTAAAGTGATCAAATAAGGTAAAAAGTTACATCATTCGACTCGACTTTCGACCATGATTCGGAATATGATACTTTCATTGCGTAAAAATCTTTATTTATTTATATTATCTTATCTTTACAGAGATGCTCTAATACTCTTATGCCGTGTAATCAAACATTAATGCGCAAATGTCCACACGATGTGTAACGACATTCATAAGCAAAGTAATGAAAATTACTTAATCTATGTCCTGTGCGTAACGAGATAACCGAGATATATGAAATAGTTCCTCAGTGTGCGTAAGACGCGTATTGGGATATTTGTTATATTTGAGATATTTGCTTCGTATGCGTAATCCGCGTATTGAGATATTTGGTGTATCTGGGATTTTTGAGATATTTGCTTCGTATGCGTAATCCGCGTATTGAGATATTTGGTGTATCTGAGATTTTTGAGATATTTGAGAGTTTTAAGATATATGATACGTGCAGGTGCATGAATGTTTGGTAGCTTAGAAGAGCTGGGGGCGGTGGAGGGTTGCTGGCAGCATGAGAGTGAGTAGCGAAACAGTATTAGATGATTACCCAGATTTGAGAAGCTGGAAGTGTATTAGTAGGAATGTATCTATAGCCATCGTGCAGACTAGGACGCTGTGACAGTGGGGCTACAGGGTTCAATCCGCTTCCTTGTTTCTAAATATTTTAGTATGATATTCGCATAGTTTTTGTTGTGGAATTAAGTTCAAGAATCAGCACCATCTGGGGTATGCTGGTAAACATAACCGCATGTGGAAACGAAGTCGGAAACCCTCAGTGCTCTGCTTTAGTGCTCAAACGAGAAAAATGCTATCACAGATTTAAATAGCAGGTTTGTTGAGAATTCAATTCTCTATCGACTGAGCCTAGAACCAACTCTTTGGATCCCTGGGAAGCGCCTCAATAACAAAGAACCAAAGTGATCCGTTTATTCTGGGTCATCTGTTACTCAAACTTTGTTTGTTTGGGCCCTGATTAATAAGATTGCCTACTTTGTACATGATTAATTCCGTTCATTCTTTCTTAGATGATTATAAATCCGATGGTTTTATTTGGAAAAATAATAGCTCCGTTTCATATACTAAAAAGAAAAATTTGTTTACAAAGAAACATTATACTGTGTTCAACTCAGATGGAAAAGTGGATAAGCGTTTCGTGAAACACGTTTACATTTCAAATATAAATAAATTCGATGTAGTCGTTGTTTATATCGGTGAGGTTCATATCTAACTGTAATGTTCAGCAATATTTGTTTTCTTTCTATTCTTGTGAAAGAGACAAACAAATTGGTAAACGACAATCTCACGGTAATTGCAAATCATCGACAAGCCATATATTTAAAAGAATATTACCATCGACGGTTGTTCAAATCGAGAATTTAGTCAGAACACAGCCCAGTTCCACAGCGTACAAATCTCTTGTTGGAAATGCAACAAAAGAACCACCAAGAAACGTTAATCAAGTCAAATATGTACGAAAAAATTTTTTCAACAAAAACGTCTTACTTCAGATGGGCTCTCGAATCTCTACTTATTATCTTTGAAAATTGATAATTATGTTCGTGAAATGTCATTACAACCCCAGCTTATCGTTGTACTGATGCACGGAACAAGCCGAAAAAAACTTGAAAAAAAATTTTCGACAATTATTGTCAATAACTAAAACCCCTATTACTTTATATTACGATACCACTTTTCAGTTAGGGGATTTTTATGTCTCAGTAAGTTACTCCAAACTCGCAAACTAGAAACAGACACTAACTTTGTTTTTATTTTTATTATTTTAGATATTAGCCTATGTGCATCATAGTTTTGTTGAAAATCCAATAATACCGTTGGCAATATTCATCCATGATCATAAAAACAGAGAAGCGCATGATAAATTAACTAATATTTTAAAAGTCCATCCATCCATAGAAAAAAAGTGTATTATTATAAGCGATGGTAAATTATCATTTAAAAATTCATTTCATGACGCATTTCCAGTTATGAAACATTTACGATGCCACAATCATTATGCAAACGACCTCAAAAAATGGTTAAAACAGGATTTTAACAAACAGTATCGTTCAATTAGCAAACGTTCAAAACGATCAAAAACAATATCCGTTAATGAAAACAAACACGATGATGAAAACGAAGATGCTAAAAACGAAGATAATGACAACGACAATATTCGTTAATGGTGTTCGTCAGTGAAAGTGAATTCAAGGGTAGGACAGCTCTCGAATATATCCCCATTGATAAACCGGTGTTCGTTCTTTTATAGTGCTCGTCAGTGACACTGACTTCAACACTAGGATATCTCCGCAATTTATTCCCACTGACGAACATGTCTTTGTTAATAGTGTTCGTCAGTGAGACTGAATTCAACCGTAGGGGGGTATATTCGAGAGCTGTCCTACTCTTGAATTCACTCTCACTGACGAACACCATTACCGAACACATGTTGGTCAATGGGAATCAACTGCACAGCTATCCTACTATTGAAGTCACCCTCACTGATGAACACTGTTAATGAACACATGTTCGTGAATGGGAATATATTAAAGAGCCATCCTTCTGTTGAATTCACTCTCACTGACGAACACCATTACCGAAGACATGATCATCAATGGGACGCTACTGCATTCGACGGAAGGATTGTCGAGCTATCCTTCCGTCGAATGCAGTCTCACTGACGAACACCATTACCGAACACACGTTCGTCACTGGGAGCAACTGGAGAGCTATCCTACTGTTGAAGTCACTCTCACTGATGAACACTGTTAATGAACACATGTTCGTGAATGGGAATATATTAAAGAGCCATCCTTCTGTTGAATTCACTCTCACTGACGAACACCATTACCGAAGACATGATCATCAATGGGACGCTACTGCATTCGACGGAAGGATTGTCGAGCTATCCTTCCGTCGAATGCAGTCTCACTGACGAACACCATTACCGAACACANACATGATCATCAATGGGACGCTACTGCATTCGACGGAAGGATTGTCGAGCTATCCTTCCGTCGAATGCAGTCTCACTGACGAACACCATTAACGAACACATGTTCGTAAACGGGAAGCCATTGATGACCTATCCTACTGCTGAACCCAGTCTCACTGACGAACACCATGACCGAACACATTCAGTTGGCGAGTTCACATACAGTTCGTGAATGGGAAGCAATTGGTGACTTATCCTACTGTTCAATTCAGTCTCACTGACGAACACCATTAACACATAGACCTTCGTCAATGGGAATATATTGTAGAGGTATCTTACTGTTCAATTCAGTCTCAGTGACGAACACATGTTCGTGAATGGAAAGCAATTGGAGAGCTATCCTACTGTTGAATTCAAGCTCGCTGACGAACGCGACTAATGAAAAGACGTTCGTCAATGGGAATATATTCGAGAGCCATCCTACCGTTGATCCCAGTCTCACTGACGAACACCATTAACGACCACATTCAGTTGACGAGTTCACATACAGTTCGTGAATGGGAAGCAATTGGAGACTTATCCAACTGTTCAATTCAGTCTTACTGACGAACACCATTAACACATAGACCTTCGTCAACGGGAATATATTCGAGAGCTGTCCTACTCTTGAATTCACTCTCATTGACGAACACCTTCAACGAACACATCTTTGTCAATGGGAATAGATTGCAGAGCTATCCTTCTGTTGAAGTCACTCTCACTGACGAACGCCATCAACGGGCACATGTTCGTCAATCGGAATAAATTGGAGAACTATCCTCTTCTTCAATTCGGTCTCACTGACGAAAGCCATTAGCGAACATACGTTCGTCAATGGGAGCAACTGGAGAGCTATCCTGCTGTTGAATTCACTCTCGCTGGCGAACACGGTTGACGAACACATGTTTGTAAATGGGAATAAATTGCGGAGCTATCCTACTGTTGAATTCCGTCTCACTGACGAACACTGTTTAACAGCATTATTGGCGTGTGGTTTGTAAGGACGTTTGTGTGTGTAACCACTTTTATTGTCGTAGAATGATGAATATTCTTAACATTTTAATAGAATTGCGGGAGTTAGGAATACCTACATTGAAGGGCTGAATACCGGATGTTGAGCGTTGAAGATTAGGAAATGTTTTTGTTTAGTGTAAAGTAGTTATACAAAAAGAAAAAGCTCTTCATAATATTCTAAATATAGAGAAATGCTTCGATCGCAATGTATAAGAATATAATTGGAAAAAAGCTTTCATTGCCCTGGATAAAAATATTTATTACGAGAGTATATAAAACAATGATTTTCTTTAATATAAAAAACTTCGGTTGTACTGTATAAAAATATAATATGAAAAAGACTTTGAGTGCACTGTACAAAAATATTTATTGCGAGATTATATAACACAATCATTTTTTTAATGTAAAAGAAACTTTCATTGTACTGTATAAAAATATTTAATGTCTTTATGTTTTATGAACGAGAGTATATAATACAGGAAATTGAGATGTTTGAAAAATGTTGCGATTTGTTGTTGATGCGAATGATGTTGTGTTGATGTCTGGATGAGCTACTTTTTGTTTTGACGGCACCAGTATAATACTTCGAGTTGACGAATAATCGTGACGTATTAATGGTGACGATGATGAAATGCGATTTGTAATATCCTGTAAAGGTGCTTCTGAAACAGTTGTTGCTAATGTCGAAGACAATGTTGTGACGTGCTCGGAGATTGATTTTGATAAATAAATTTTATTTGCTTCTTTACAGTTCGTCGTGGTCTTTTCTTCCCTTCTACTCCAATTTTATCTTCTTTATTCTTTCGTTTTCTTTCTTGTTCCATATTAACTTTTGTCGGTTTTTCATTTACATACGCACCTAATGCTACTTTCGCCGCTGTAATCTAAAAGATTCACAAAAAGTGACGTGATACACGATAAGGAAACGGCATACTCACATGTGAACATGATCGTTGCATATTTGAGCATGAACATTTAAATAGACGCTTCGGATCTCTCATGTGAATACAATAGATACTTTTATCATCGAACGAGTGAACATTAAATACTTCTGATTGTGGAGCAAATTTTACCCTGTCTTGATCAATTAATAATCCAACTTTAGCGGCTGTAGTTAATGATTTTTGTTGAACGGATTCAGATGGCAAATCGACCATTCTTGTTGTTGCTAATGTCGAAGACAATGTTGTACTATTATTGACGTGCTCGGAGATTGATTTTGATAAATAAAGTTTATTTGCTTCTTTATCAATTCGTCGTGGTCTTTTCTTCCCTCCTACTCCAATTTTATCTTCTTTATTCTTTCATTTTCTTTCTTGTTCCATGACGAGAATGAACTAAACGATGGTTTAAGAATTAGATCGAATGATGTGGGGGAATAACCAACAAAGCCTATAACATTAATTGATGTTGGAATTGATGTTAAAGAAGTGTTGATTGATGTTGGTTGACATATTTCGATATAATTGTATATATTTGTATCAACATTCCAGCAATTGATCACACCTAAATGGAAGCATAAAAGCAGATATGGTTACTAAACTAATTAACGAAAACTTCATAAGTAAAAATTAAAAAAATGATTCACTAACCCACATCGTCCCACCAAGCACTTGAAAAGATAAATTTTGAAGAAATTAATTGACATTTTGTTATCAATGCTGTGGGTTTTAAATGAAGTTGTTCATCAAATAAAGTATTTATTTGAATTAAAGAATTAAATAAAAAAAGGATAAACCATCACTATTAAGCAATATACGATACATGAAAATATAGTTACATATAAAAATATGTAAAATTATATTTTACATAAATGTGGTCCAATAACCGATCGAAAATATATTGCTGATGGTACAAAGATAATTAATGATAATAATAAAGAATTGATAACGAATGAACCTAAATTTAAATTAACTCCATAACATGGAATGCTGTTACTATAAAAATGGATGGAAAGTCGCTGTCGATTACTTTGAAAATTGCGACTCCAGAACCGATTATTTCTTCATTGCTATCAGAAAATAAAAATTTTGGGGTGTATTCGTGCTGAATTCAAGGGATTTGGTACTAAAGATAAAATTCCTGTTGTCCTACAATCTGGCCTTGTTTATAAAGCCACATGCCCTGTTTGTGGTGAATTTTATATATTTTATATAGCAAACATTATTCAACCACAGGCCACGCTATCACGGGCAATGACTTTGAAATAGTATTAAGGGAAAAACATCGTTATAAACTATTAGTAAAAGAATCGCTAGTCATTAGGGCGACTGCTCCCTCTCTTAATGGTACAGATCGTTCCGTACCATTGTATATATATTCCAATGGTATTCAACGAGCTCTATGGGATAGAAGAAACATCGAGCGTAAAGGTTCAGGACTGTAAACAACGAGAAATAAAATCACGCCATATAGAATCGAAATTCGAGAAAAAATTGACAAAGAACTAAAGTGAAAAGTGAAGAATAACAAAATGGAGAATTATAGAAACAAAATAGTAGCAATCCCTCTCTCACTCTCTGTATATACATATATATACTTATAAATATGTACTGTTTGGTCCTGTTTTTCTTTTAACGTAACGCTCTGTACGATATTTTGTCTTGATAATGACCGTATAAATAGGTCGAAAATTCGTGTTCTAATAATAAAAGTTTTTAATTATTATAAATAAACTCTTAATTATGCTTAATCAAATTAAGGGTGGGTGCCTCAGCC